TCGAGAGAGAGTAGAGAGAGAGCGAGCGCGAGGAGAGATAATAGATACGAGGTTAGAGATGAGAGAGAGAGAGAGGAGAGAGAGAAGAGTGATTGAGGAGAGAGAGAGAGAGAGATGAGAGAGATGAGAGAGAGAGAGAAAGAGAGAGAGATGAAGAGAGAGAGATGAGAGAGAGAGAGAGAAGAGAGAGAGAGAGAGAGTAGAGAGAGAGATGAGAGAGAGAGAGAGAGAGAGAGAGAGAGAAATGAGAGAGAGGGCAGAGAAGAGAGAGAGAGTGATAGAGAGAGAGAGAGACGAAGAGAGAGAGAGAAGAGAGAGAGAGAGAAGAGAGAAGAGAGAAGAGAAGAGAGAGAGGAGAGATGGAGAAGCGCACGAGAGAGAGAGAGAATGAGAGAGAGAGAGAGAGAGTATGAGAGAGAGAGAGAGAGAGATGAGAGCGAGAGAGGAGAGAGAGAGAGAGGAGAGAGGAGAGAGAGAGAGAGAGAGTGAGAGAGAGAGAGAAGGAGGAGACTGCACGAGAGAGAGATGAGAGAGAGAGAGAGAGAGGAGAGAGAGATGAGTAGAGGCAGGGAGGTAGAGAGAGAAGAGAGACTGAGAACGATGAGAGAGAAGAGGAGCCGATGGACCGAGATGAGGGGATGAGTAATGAAGAGGAGAAGAGAGGAGAGGGACACAGAAGAGAGAGGATGAGGATGAGAGAGGAAGAGTTCTTCTCTCCTCTCCTCTCAGCTCCTCTCAGCTCCTCTCCTCTCCTCTGCCCTCCTCTTCCTTTCTTCTTTCTATCGCTTTCACTCTTCCCCGTCCTCTCTATATCCACCTTTCATTCGAGGGACTACAGAAATAAAAACAAAGATGGGAAATTAGTAGTAGCCGCTACTGTGACGCGAATTGACGCAAAGGTCAAAGGGAGCGAGTGATAACCACTCGGGTGCTAATTAGGATTAGATTAGAGCAGGCGTGTCATCGTAGGATGCGGGCGGGGTGCTATGATTGTGCTCTCGTCTCTCTCGCAGGCTGATGCTGGGATTCATGCTAGTCACCGCGCTGCTGTCCATGTGGATCTCTAACACGGCCACGACGGCCATGATAGCTCCGATCGTCGCTGCCGTGCTGGAGCAGCTGATGCGGGCCTCCGCTGCCGCCCAGCAGCAGACGACAGGTTGGCTGCTGACGATGACGTCAAATACATTAAACTTACACGTAGTTGCAACAGAGCGGAATAGCGTTAGATGTGCTCATTGCAACTTTTATGTGCTATTATTAACGCAGTCAGTCGCAGTTCGTTCAGACATCGCATATGTGATTAGATGTTATCAAGAGTACATAATGAAAGACTATATGGACTATTCTAACCATGGACTTTTCTATTATGGACTCTTGATGTTATGCTTAGATATTGTAATTAGATACTATGCAATTTATTTCTAGTTGCGTATTTTCAGGCGTACATTGATGCTTTAATTTTTACGGCGAGATTTAATTTCCTGATTAAATTTTAGATGAGGAGAAATTAGTCAAGGCAAATGTACGTCACAAATCCGGTGGCGCTGCGAACAGCGTCGTCTGCCACATTGCCTTGGACACGCAGATATCGTCTGACATGAGCACGCACGGCCTGGTTTCACGGACATGCTCGTAAGAGAAAAAAAAGTTTAGAGCCATTCGCATATACTTCCAATTACTATCTATTCTAATGAAGCCGTGAGCCGTCATAAAATATTCATGAAGCAAACGCGTATCTACGGTTACGTCAAAATTGTTCGGTTTTCTTGCGATAACTAACTGATCTTGTCTTCCTCTTCCTCATCCTTCTCTCTCTACCCCTCCTGCTGCTATTCTTCTTTCTTGCCCTTAATCTCCCCATTCCCATTCCTCCTCCTCCTCCTCCTCCTCCTCCTCCTCCTCCTCCTCCTCCTTCTCCTCCCACACCATCTCCTCCTCCTCCGCTTCTTCCTTGTCCTCCTCCTTAGCTGTCTCTTCTTTATACTTCTCCTCCTTCCACACAATTTTCTGCCGAATGTTTCTACTCATGCACATCTTCGTTTTCATCGTGATCTTTTCCCTTCTCCTCTTTATTCTCTTCTTCTTTATGATAAGCCAATGTGTCATTGCCTTCCTCTCTTTTTGTCTATACTTCTTCAGTACAAATTGCTTCTTCGTCAATCTTGCCCTCTATTGCTCATGCTCCCCCTCTCTTTATTTCCTTGTCTACATTATTTCCCTTCCCTATCGTATTCAGTAACAATATTATTTATTATTTATTATATATTATTATGTGTATATGTATTATGTATGTATTTATATGTGTATATATTATTATTGTTGTTATTATTCTTATTATTATTACTATTTATTATTATTATTAGTATTACTTAAGCTGTTTTGCAATTACTCTATAAACTTCATGTTTATCATGCCGCTTCATGTGTATAGTAAGGCTAGCTCTACTACAAATCTGCCTACCAGCGTTACACAGACCGTGGCAGAGCGCAAGGGCTTCAGTAATAGGTGGCCTATAGCTAAACGCTCTCCACGCGATGTTTCATCAAGCCAAGTGAAGAGTCCAGAGTCGCCTCTACTTGAACAGCAGCGAATCCGTGCTAGGTGGCAGCGACCTCTACGCGGTGAGGGAGCCCACGTCGAGGTTTCCCGGGTCAGCACGGCGGGCTAGAGAACGAAACGGCTGGCAATGGGCATGATGCGAGCATTTGCTACGCGGCTAACATGCGGAGCTCTGCCACACTACTGGCACCGGCATCCCAACGTCGTGCTAGCGGCCAAGATGAGTGTGTGAGTGTAGAGAGCTATGTAGAGCACATCTCTACGAGGTGGAGTGGAGGTGGAGTGGGTGGCAGGTGTATTGGAGATGAGACGTACGTGGGTAGAGTGTAGTGAATGTAGCTGAGAAGTGAAGGCAGTAATATAATATGGTACAAATAGAGTAGTTAAGTTGAGTAGATGCAGAGATGGTAGCATGGAGACATGTTAATAGTATTTCGTCCCTATGAACATCGTCTGATTAATGTATTACATTATCTATATATGTGCGCAGTAATATGTTTGTAAGGTGCTCCGTTATATACAGTATGCGATTACAGACTGTATGAAAGTCCAGAGGCACAGATCTCGCTAACACACCAGTGGAATGATGTTTGCTCTCTAACGCCATGCTGTGTATCGCCGTCAGCTGATCTGGCTGCAGATTCATTCTTCGGCTTCCAGTTACCGAAAGCAATAAAACTTAACAATATCTTTTGGCAATAAAAATTTCCAAATATAACAATCAATACGTGACTAAACGTTTTCAGAAAGAAAAGGAACCCAAATTAAAGGTACTTGTTTGTTTTCATAATCGCCATGCGGTTATGCGTTGTCACTTCACATCTAAGGGATGAAAAAGGTGTGACAAATCCTTCCTCTGTCTAGAGGAGCAGGATTATTTTCTGTTGTTTTGTGTGTGTGTTGTCTGCAGAGACGTTGTTTTGCTGCGCGCACTCATACCGCGATACGTCCGATGATGACTCTGCCCGGGACATTCATTTCGGAAGGAGTACGAACAACTCGCAGCATCAGGTACATCGCAACACACAACACGGCGGCGTGGAGCTGCGAACGAATGTCTTCGCTTCAGTCATGATTTTATACGTCGCTTTACAAATTCAACCGTTCTCCCTGTAGTAATCTTATTTAAGGCGCGCATGCACGGGTGCACAGAAAGCAGCAGCAGGCAGATTGCAGGCAGGTATAGGCATATAGCCAACGAAAGGCAACGAAGAGAGAAAGGGAGGCACAGAGGAAGAGGAGGGAGAAAGAGCGAAGAATCATCGGAGAGAGAAGAGAAGAGAGCGAGCGCGAGAAGAATGAGAAAGAGGTTAGAGAGAGAGAGAGAGAAGAGAGAGAGAGAGAGAGAGAGAGAGAGAGAGAGACGAGCGAGAGAGGAGAGAGAGAGAGAGAGAGAGAGAGAAGAGAGAGAGCAGAGAGAGAGAGAGAGAGAGAGAGAGAGAGAGAGAGAGATGAGAGCAGAGAGGAGAGAGAGAGAGAGAGAGAGAGGAGAGAGAGAAGAGAAGAGAGAGAGAGAGCGAGAGTAGAGAGCAGAGATGAAGAGAGAGAGAGAGAGAGAGAGCAGAGAGAGAGAGAGAGAGAGAGAGAGAGAGAGAGAGAGAAGAGAGAGAGAGAGAGAGGAGAAGATCGAGAGAGAGAGAGAGAGAGAGAGAGAGAAGAGAGAGAGAGAGAGAGAGAGAGAGGAGAGGAGAGAGAGAGAGAAGAGAGAAGAGAGAGAGAGAGAGAGAGGAGAGAAGAGAGAGAGAGAGAGAGAAGAGAGAGAAGAGAGAGAGAGAGACGAGAGAGAGAGAGAGAGAGAGATAGAGAGAGGGAGAGAGAGAGAGAGAGAGAGAAGAGAGATAGAGAGAGAAGAGAGAGGAGAGAGAGAGAGAGAGAGAGAGAGAGAGAGAGAGAGAGAGTAGAAGAGAGAGAGAGAGAGAGAGAATTCCAAAGATCGAGAAATACTCGTGAATTGATTACAGTTGCTTCATAAATATTAAAATGCGAAAGTTATCTGTACTGATCGGAAACGTCTGTTTCAGGTTTCCAGCGAGGTAGTTCGTGCTGCTCAATTTCATCAGCTTCTTGCTTCTTCTCTGGCTGTTCGCGAGATCCTGATTCTCTTCCCCTGGCTGGGATTCATTATGCCAAGAAGGGTATGGCATCAAAATTATGTTTATGAAATACCTTAGGTAACACCAAGATACGACAGCAATCGCAGCTATTTTTGATATAGCTGGCACGATTATGATTTATGTTTTTCAAACTAGAGTCTCGTCGAACAAGTTTGTCACGTAATTATTATGTAGGCCTAAATGTAATGTAATGTAATGTAAATATTGTATGTAATGTAATTCATGTCATGTGATTAATTAATGTAATGTAATGTAATGTAAATGTAATGTAAGTGATGTGAGTAAATATGTGTAAATGTGAATGTATGTAATGTAATGTAAATGTAATGTAATTAACGTAATGTAATGTAATGTGATCGTGATTGTAAGGTATTGTAATGTTAATGTAATTGTAATGTAATGTAATTGTAATGTAAGATGATGTGACGGGTCTTCAGGTACGCGACCGACGCGCACAGCTGCGATGCTCGTCTTGATACTGCTGTTTGTGGTGCCTTCCTCCAAACCAAACATCTCCTGCGCCGCTACCGCAGACGGTACTGTGCTCCTGCACTATTCCCAGCTGACACATAATTGTTAATTATTAAATACATATGGTTCCCTATTATCACAATAATACGTCAGATTGGTGACTGCGTTTGTGCCACGCGTATTTCATGAGAATTTCAATATATATATACATATATATATGTGGGCGGGGGGGGGTCATGTGTCCGTCCGTGCGTGCGTGCGTGCCGTTCGCGGCGGTGTATGTATATATATATATATATATATATATATATATATATGTATATAATATATATATATATATATTATACACACATACATACACATGTAGATGTGAGTCAGCGTGGGCCGAGGAGCACTGTGATGGGGTGGGACACCATCAACAGTAAGATGCCGTGGAACATAGTGTTGCTCATGGGAGGCGGCTTCGCCCTGGCAGACGGCGTTCAGGTATTAGAACGTGGCTTCACTTTACTGCACTCACACCTCACTGTGCATACGTGTACTTCATCGGGAAGTTTCATTAGGGCACCGTGAAATTTAGCGTGACTGGCGCTTGTGAGAAAAATATAGCGCGTACATCACATCAATTTGTATATATAGTAATAACTATATATTACATATATATATATATATATATTATACATATATATATATATATATATGCTACAAACTGCCGCGTGTCTCTCACGTCCAATAAGAGAATATCAGTGGCGAAACGAGCTGTGTATTTTTCTCTCGTGATGTGCAATGTTTACGCGGCAAAATACTGATCGAATTCGCCACAGTCTCAAACATCGGATGCATCCTCATCCACGCAGTGATTTGCTTATATTACTAACAAAGGACTCTTTCTACTCGCGCGCAGAAATCTGGTCTGTCGCGTCTGATCGGCGAGCAGCTGCGAGTGTTGGATGCTCTACCTGCGTGGCTGCTCGTACTCGTTCTCTGCCTGCTCGTCGCTTCTCTCACGGAGACGGCTAGCAACGCAGCCACGGCCTCCATCATGATACCCATACTCGCCGACCTGGTAATGACCACGTTGCTTTCTGACAGAAGACTTAGCATTGCTTGTATTTTTCGGTGTTAGATTTACTTGCGTGTGACACGGACGATCGTCTGTCATACGCGATTCGTAAGCGACGTAACGTGAAAATTACAACATTACGTTAGTGTTATATACTCAATTATTGTTCTTAGCCTGTTCGCAAATATCACAGTCATAATATCACAGCTTCGCTCGCGCAACCAGTATCCTAACAGTTTACGCCTTAACCCTTTGGAGCATATTCTCTCTGTTTCAGGCAGAGGCGCTGTGCATACATCCCTACTACCTGCTTTACAGCGCCACGATCGCCTGCTCCTTCGCGTTCATGTTGCCCGTGGCAACCCCTCCGAACGCCATCGTCTTCGGTTACGGAGTGCTCAAGATATGGGACATGGTGACTATCGTAACCTAATGATCGTCAGCCTGACATCATTTATTTACGCGCGACACTTTGCTACGAACTCGCTGTTAAATCGATAAAACATGTCAGCGAACCGTCGCAGATATTTCCACGATCCCTTACTTAGGAAAAGAAATGCATACGAGGCAAGTTTTCCTAATGCTCTAACGCATTCTGAGTTCATCTCGCGATATCTCTCTCTCTCTCTTCTCTCAGGTGAAGGCCGGCGTCGTGATGAACGTGGCCTGCATCCTCATCCTCTGCCTCTCCATCAACACGTACGGCTACTTTGGCTTCGGATTCAACACGTTTCCAGCGTGGGCGGTGATCAACCCATCGAATCATACGTGTTTCAACCAATGAGCGCAAAATCTCCCGCATGTATATACATACGCGTTTTATACTTATTACCTCCGCCCAACGGAGTTGGAGGAGAGGTTATGTGATCGCTCTCGTGCGTTCGTGTGTTCGCGCGATCGATATTAGCGCGTCAGCCAGCTCAGCCAGCCAGCCAGTGATACCCAGCGAGCCAGCGAGTCAGCAAGCCAGCGAGCGTGTACATGTGAGCGAGCAGCAGCAACGAGCGGCTGCTACGAGCAACAAGCCAGCGTGTACAGCACGCTGGCGTATATCGTGCGTTATTCGTGTGTTTGTCAGTCGTATGGCGTATGTCGCTGGCGGAGGTATGCACTCTCCGTGAGTGCACTCTGTCTAGTTTCAAAAGTCCTCGAGGCTGTTTGATTGTTGGCGACTTAGTCAGACTACGTAGAGTCAGTCTATAATGTTTTATATAAATATATCGCGCGCGGGGGGGTCTTCGCCGTCGTCATGATCATCGTCGTCGTCGTCATCGCCACCGTTGCCGCCATCGTCATCAACATCACAATCATCGTCGTCATGACTATCATCATCATCATCATCACCATCATCATCAACCTCAACCATGAACGCATTCCTGGGTGAACGATTGTGTTATTTTTTTATTGATGCCGTCACCTATCGCGTGTCTATAGACGCCGCTTGAATTTTGTACGTGGGCTGGGCAGTGGAGCGAATAATTGCCTGCCGTAAATAAAAGCTTCATAGTTTCGTAACAAATCGCAACAGGCGTTCGCTATTGTTGTCGTATCGGCAGATTAATGAGCGAGCGTGTCTTGTTGCTCGACACTGGTAATGAGTCGACGACGCCGACACTCCGTCACTGCGCTCACACGCAATCGAATTAGGGACGGATCCGTGCAATAGCGCCCGAGATTTTAATTAAGTCTGAAAATATCCGTCAATGGCGTCTCATCTTGTTATCTACAGGGTTGCTTCCGATCTTACAGACATCACATCGTTCAACATTTTGGTGTCTACGATGCTTACACACAAGGGGGTTATACGCGAAATCTAGACAAAAGATGGTGATAAAAATAATGTCGATTTTTTTTTCTCTCTAAATTTCACGCTGTCAGCTTTACACGCGCGACTTATGAAAAACGGTGGTGAAAATAACTGCTTTTTATACAACAAAATGTATCGTCCCCCTACGGAAGGCAGTCACGTGGATTAATGCCCGACATCCCCCATATAGGAGTTTAGTTTATGGTGCAAAGCTTTATTTCCAACAATAACGTGTAGACAGCTTTCGCGAGTGTAGCCACCAACACGATACCATACGCACCCTACATCTGCTATCAGAGCGAACAGGAATTCTATGCGATTACAGACTATATTGCCCGAAAGTCCGACATATTGCATAATCCTCACTGCCACACGACGACAACAATGGTGCGATGCTTAGCATACGACTAAATCAATAAAAAAAACACTCAAAACATTGGTTTCAACAACATCCATTATTATTTGCACAAGAGAATTTTTTTACAATCGACAATTTAAAAACACGACGACGCGACATTGCGCGATCGTACGTATAGATGGCGCAGGTGGTCGTAATCACCAAACCGCTGCTCGCAGTCACGATCCCACCTATCAGATCACGTCACTCCGCGTTCTTACCCGACGCTTGCTGCTTGTGTAATTGGCAGCGATGCAGGACGTTGAGTGATACACGCGATCACCGCGCTACTTCGCGAAGCACGCGATTACGACGACGCGCGACGTGATTGCCTCGCGCTGGGATCACGATGTCGCGTAATGCGACCCCACTCTCTCACATTACGGAATCCGATCATCGTGCTTCGCCGCGCAATTGTTGTTGCGTCGGCGTGGCAACGTCGCTCGTGCAGGCCTGATCGATGTCGCTGCCAGGCAACACGACGACGCGAAAACACCACATGAGCTTCGTAGTGATGGCCGGCACACAATCTACACATGCGTCTAAACAGAGGAATTGCTCCGACCTGTGATTGGAGGATAAAAATAGACCCCGCCCACTCCCGCCGCATACGCTATGCTATGACCGGTAGGAACGTGTACTAACTATCATATGGAGCGAACAATTTGAGTTACATTTTTATAAATTCTAGCTATTATAGACACATGTCTGAGCCTTAATCTCTGTGAATTTTGAGTCTATTGAAGCGCGATTAGTCTAATTAATTAGCAAATATGCACGCGCGGCTATGACCGGTGAAACGAAACGTCACGTATTCTATTTTTATCCTCCAAAAATAGAAAAGTGGGCGGGTCGCTTTTTATCCTCCAATCACAGGTCGGAGCAATTCCTCTGTTTAGACGCATGTCAATCTACAAGTAGCTTCCCCAACAGACTGTCATGCCATCATCGTCGCTGCCTGACTACGAACTTACACGGTCAGTCAATCAAAGTGTGACCACACTGCACCTACGACCCTACACAGGGGCCAAGCAAAGTATGTGGCTGACCACACCAAACCTACAATCTTACACGAGGGGGGGGGGTCAAGCAGTCTGTGGCTGACCACACCACACCTACGATCTTACATGGAAGGGGAGGGGGGTCAATCAAAACCTGTTGCGGACAATACTGCACCTACGACCTTACATTGGGGGTCAAGTCAAGTCTTCATCTCACCACACCACACCTACAATCTTACATGGGAAATCACTCAAAGTCTGTGTCTGACCACACCACACCTTCGACCTTATATGGGGGTCACATCAAGTCTGCATCTCACCACACCACATCACACCTACGACCTTACATGGGAGGTCAAGCAAAGTCTGTGTCTAACCACACCACACCTAGGACCTTGCACAGGAGGGGAGGGGGGGGTCAATCAAAACCTGTGACTGACCATACTGCACCTACGACCTTACACGGGAGGTCAAGCAAAGTCCGTGTCTGACCATACTGCATCACCGTCACTGCCTTCCAGGTCCGCCTGCAAAATATTGAAAACCACTTGATAGTGATGCCAGACTTTCGAGAGCATGTGGTCACTTGCAGTGGCAATTTTGTAAAGATCTGATTACACATGTTAAAGATGTTGCCTGCTTTTTAAAATCGGACTATTAATGATTGAGAAAGACGTGCCTGAAATATATACGTACTGTAAACATCATTTTCCAAAAAAAAAATTTAACACAGATGCACGCACACACGCTCACGCACACGCACACACGCACTCACACACACACACACACACACACACACGCACGCACGCACGCACGCACGCACCACACACTCACGCTCACGTTCACGCATGCGCGCACGCACGCTCGCTCGCACACACGCTCGCACGCACGCACGCACGCACGCACGCACACACACACACACATAGACACACAACACACACACATGCACATAGACATACATATACGTTAATGTGTGCTTGCAATATTATTAGAATTGGTGAATAAACGAGCATACGAAATAGCCGTGCATGCAGAGAGTAATAAATGCACGCCTGCTTTACAATACTTATCAGCATGTGAATCATACTGCCAGTAATAGCATACATGACTAAACACACATTAGCCTGTGACAGCAGCACGCAGGAATGACGTGACCTCAAATACTAATAGAGGGTGCTAAGATCTTGGACATTATAGAGGCACTGAGGACACCTCGAAAACTATAAAGGGCACTGACGAGATACTGGACACTATAGAGGGCGCTGACAAGATACTGGGCACTATAGAGGGCGCTGACAAGATACCGGACACTATAGATGGCGCTTACATCGTTCTCGCTCTCGGCCATGTCGTCCATGTCGACCTCGGCGTACGAGCAGTCACCCATGTCACCGTGCTTCTCCGCCTTCTGCACGCCCTCCTGCGCCTTGCCATTCGACGGGTCCAACCTGAAACACACGGCGCGGGCGTGAGCAGCATGCTACACCGGTAGATGCCCTAGATCTAGTCACACTTGATCTGAGATCTACCCAGAGCAGGCGCTGTCGCTAGCAGGGTGCCATTCACACACGCTTATCTGGCATCACGAAAATTCCACCATGAAATAGGTGTGAGTGCGTGCATGCAGTGAGTGTCTGGCTGCAATGTCATAGTTGCAGACCAGAACGTGAAGAAAACGTTTTTTAGCAGTTTTTGCACGCACACTAAGGTCGTGTGTAATTATTGGGTGTAAATATATTTGACGTCGATTGTAGGTGGACCGAATCTAGGAGCGTTCAAACAACTCCGTTAGTCTTGCCATAAATCTCATAACCCCATTACGATTACTGCAGTTGTTGACAACGTGTGTATTGTCATTCACATATACGGCGTGAAACCCGGTCACAGCCGGCTTGTTACGTACCTGAGCGCGATGTGAAACTGATCCAGAGCCTCCTGGTGTTCACCGTTCCTCGAGAGAAAGTCTCCGAACATCTGGTGAAGCCTACTGCTCGAGCTCTCCACCACCAACTGCATCCTAATCCTGTGAGAACACGGTGGCATCAAGCGTTAACAATTACAGAGTGTACTCATAGTTACAGAGCATTACAGTGTGTACTCATAGTTACAGAGTATACAGAGTGTACTCATAGTTACAAAATGTACTCATAGTTACAGAGTATTACAGTGTGTACTCATAGTTACAGAATGTACTCATAGTTACAGAGTAATGTATTCGTGTGTACTCATAGTTACAGAGTATTAGTGTGTACTCATAGTTACAGAGTATACAGAGTGTACTCATAGTTACAAAATGTACTCATAGTTACAGAGTTTTAGTGTGTACTCATAGTTACAGAGTATTACAGAGTGTACTCATAGTTACAGAGTATTACAGAGTGTACTCATAGAGATTTATATATGTGTGGGGGGGGGGTGCATGTGTCCGTCCGTGCGTGCGTGCGTGCGTTTCGCGCGTGTGTATGTATATATATATATATATATATATATATATATAATATTATATATATATATATATATATATATATTATACACACATACATACACATGTAGATGTGAGTCAGCTGGCCGAGGAGCACTGTGATGGGGGACACCATCAACAGTAAGATGCTGGAACATAGTGTTGCTCATGGGAGGCGGCCTTCGCCCTGGCAGACGGCGTTCAGTATTAGAACGTGGCTTCACTTCACTGCACTCACACCTCACTGTGCATACGTCTACTTCATCGGAAGTTTCATTAGGCACCGTAAATTTAGCGTGAACTGGCCGCTTTGAGAAAAACTATAGCGCGTACATCACATCAATTTGTATATATAGTAATAACTATATATTAACATATATATATATATATATATATTATACATATATATATATATATGCTACAAACTGCCGCGTGTCTCTTCACGTCCAATAAGAATATCAGTGTGCGAAACGAGCTGTGTATTTTTCTCTCGTTTGTATGCCAATGTTTACGCGGCCAAAATACTGATCGAATTCGCCACAGTCTCAAACATCGGATGCATCCTTCATCCACGCAGTGATTTGTATATATTACTAACAAAGGACTCTTTCTACTCGCCGCGCGAAATCTGGTCTGTCGCGTCTGATCGCGAGCAAGCTGCGAGTGTTGGATGCTCTACCTGCGTGGTGCTCGTACTCGTTCTCTGCCTGCTCGTCGCTTCTCTCACGGAGACGGCTAGCAACCGCAGCCACGGCTCCATCATGATACCATAGCTCGCCGACCTGGTAATGACCACGTTGCTTTCTGACAGAAGACTTAGCAATGCGTGTTTTTCGGTGTTAGATTTACTTGCGTGTGACACGGACCGATCGTCTGTCATAGCGCGATTCGTAAGCGACGAACGTGAAAATTACAACATTACGTTAGTGTTATATACTCAATTATTGTTCTTAGCCTGTTTCGCAAATATCACAGTCATAATTATCACAGCTTCGCTCGCGCAACCAGTATCCTAACAGTTTACGCCTTTAACCCTTTGCGAGCATATTCTCTCTGTTTCAGGCAGAGGCGCTGTGCATACATCCCTACTACCTGCTTTACAGCGCCACGATCGCCTGCTCCTTCGCGTCATGTTGCCCGTGGCAACCCCTCCGAACGCCATCGTCTTCGGTTACGGAGTGCCTCAAGAATGGGACATGGTGACTATCGTTAACCTAATGATCGTCAGCCTGACATCATTTATTTACGCCGCGACACTTTGCTACGAACTCGCTGTTAAAATCGATAAAACATGTCAGCGAACCGTCGCAGATATTTCCACGATCCGCTTACTTAGGAAAAGAAATGCATACGAGGCAAGTTTCCTAATGCTCTAACGCATTCTGAGTTCATCTCGCGATATCTCTCTCTCTCTCTTCTCTCAGGTGAAGGCCGGCGTCGTGATGAACGTGGCCTGCATCCTCATCCTCTGCCTCTCCATCAACACGTACGGCTACTTTGGCTTCGGATTCAACACGTTTCCAGCGTGGGCGTGATCAACCCATCGAATCATACGTGTTTCAACCAATGAGCGCAAAATCTCCCGCATGTATATACATACGCGTTTTATACTATATTACCTCCGCCCAACGGAGTTGGAGCGAGAGTTATGTGATCGCTCTCGTGCGTTCGTTGTTCGCGCGATCGATATTAGCGCCGTCAGCCAGCTCAGCCAGCCAGCCAGTGATACCCAGGCGAGCCAGCGAGTCAGCAAGCCAGCGAGCGTGTACATGTGAGCGAGCAGCAGCAACGAGCGGCTGCTACGACCAACAAGCCAGCGTGTACAGCACGCTTGGCGTATATCGTGCGTTATTCGTGGTGTTGTCAGTCGTATGGGTATGTCGCTGGCGGAGGTATGCACTCTCCGTGAGTGCACTCTGTCTTAGTTCAAAAGTCCTCGAGGCTCTTTTGATTGTTGCGACGTAGAGTCAGTCTATAATGTTTTATATAAATATATCGCGCGCGGGGGGTCTTCGCCGTCTCATGATCATCGTCGTCGTCGTCATCGCCACCGTTGCCCATCTCGTCAACATCAACAATCATCGTCGTCATGACTATCATCATCATCATCATCATCATCATCATCATCACCATCATACATCAACCTCAACCATGAACGCATTCCTGGCTGTGAACGATTGTGTTATTTTTTTTGATGCCGTCACCTATCGCGTGTCTATAGACGCCGCCTTGAATTTTGTACGTGGGCTGGCAGTGGAGCGAATAATTGCCTGCCGTAAATAAAAGCTTCATAGTTTCGTAACAAATCGCAACAGGAGTTCGCTATTGTTTGTTCGTATCGGCAGATTACATGAGCGAGCGTGTCTTGTTGCTCGACACTGGTAATGAGTCGACGACGCCGACACTCCGTCACTGCGCTCCACCGCAACTCGAATTAGGGACGGATGCCGTGCAATAGCGGCCCGAGATTTTATAAGTCTGAAAATATCCGTCAATGGCCGTCTCATCTTGTTAATCTACAGGTTGCTTCGATCTTACAGACATCACATCGTTCAACATTTGGTGTCTACGATGCTTACACACAAGGGGGTTATACGGGAAAATTAGACAAAAGATGTGATAAAAATATAATGTCGATTTTTTTTTTCTCTCTAAATTTCACGCTGTCAGCTTTACACGGTGGTGAAAATAACTGCTTTTTATACAACAAAATGTATCGTCCCCCTACGGAAGGCAGTCACGTGGGATTAATGCCCGACATCCCCCATATAGGAGTTTAGTTTATGGTCAAGAGCTTATTTCCAACATAACGTGTAGACAGCTTTCGCGAGTGTAGCGCACCAACACGATACCATACGCACCCTACATCTGCTATCAGAGCGAACAGCGAATTCTATGCCGATTACAGACATATATTGCCCGAAAGTCCGACATATGTGCATAATCCTCACTGCCACACGACGACAACATGTCGTGCGATGCTTAGCATACGACTAAATCAATAAAAAAAACACTCAAACACCATTGGTTTCAACAACATCCATTATTATTTGCCACAAGAGAATTTTTTTACAATCGACAATTTAAAAACACACGACGCGACATTGCGCCAATCGTACGTATAGATGGCCGCAGGTGGTCGTAATCACCAAACCGCTGCTCGCAGTCACGATCCACCTATCAGAATCACGTCACCCGCGTTCTTACCCGACCTTGCTGCTGGTGTAATGGCAGCCGATGCAGGACGTTGAGTGATACACGCCGATCACCGCGCTACTTCGCGAAGCACGCGATTACGACGACGCGCGACGTGATGTGCCCGTCGCTGGGATCACGATGTCCGGTAAATGCGACCCCCTCTCTCACATTACGGAATCCGATCATCGTGCTTCGCCGCGCAATTGTTGTTGCGTCGGCGTGGCAACGCGCTCGCGTGCAGCGTGATCGAGTGTCGCTGCAGCGCAAACATGACGACGCCGCAAAACACCACATGAGCTTCGTAGTGATGGCCGGCACACAATGCTACACATGCGTTCTAAACAGAGGAATTGCTCCGACCTGTGATTGGAGGGATAAAAATAGACCCCGCCCACTCCGCCGCATACGCTTTGCTGATGACCGTAGGAACGTGTACTAACACATATAGTGGACGGCAGCGAACAATTTGAGTTACATTTTTATAAATTCTAGCTATTATAGACACATGTCTGAGCCTTAATCTTCTGTGTAATTTTGAGTCTATTGAAGCCGCGATTAGTCTAATTTAAATTAGCAAATATGGCACGCGCGGCTATGACCGTTGTGAAAGAACGAAACGTCACTGTATTCTATTTTTTATCCTCCAAAAATAGAAAATGTGGCGGGTCGCTTTTTATCCTCCAATCACAGGTCGGAGCAATTCACTAGAGAGAGAGAGAGAGAGAGAGAGAGAGAGAGAGAGAGAGAGAGAGAATTCCAAAGAGTCGAGAAATACTCGTGAATTTGATTACAGTTTGCTCATAAATATTAAAATGCGAAAGTTATCTGTACGCGAAACGTCTGTTTCAGTTCCAGCGAGGTAGTCGTGCTGCTCAATTTCACGCTTCTTGTTCTTCTCTGGCTGTTCCGAGATCCTGATTTCTTCCCTGGCTGGGGATCATTATGCAAAGAAGGGTATGGCATCAAATTATGTTTATGAAATACCTAGGTAACACCAGAGATACGAACAACAATCCGCAGTCTATTTTTGATATAGCTGCACGATTATGATTTATGTTTTAACTAGAGTCTCGTCGAACAAGTTTGTCACGTAATTATTATGTAGGCCTAATGTAATGTAATGTAATGTAAATATTGTATTGTAATGTAATTCATGTCATGTGATTAATGTAATGTAATGTAATGTAATGTAATGTAATGTAATGTGATGTGATGTAAATATTGTAATGTAATGTAATGTAATGTAATGTAATGTAATGTAATGTAATGTAATGTAATGTAATGTAATGTGATGTGATGTAAGGTATTGTAATGTAATGTAATTGTAATGTAATGTAATTGTAATGTAAGATGATGTGACGGGT